TTTGTATATTACCTTAAAGTTTTATTCTTATGAGATATAAACGTGTATATAATTAATGTTCCAAAGATGAACCAGAAAATAATGACTATAAAAATTCTATAGTCATAGCCAGTGATTAGAGATACACAGCCCATTGACCAATCAAAACAAAGCCATAAAGGACATATAAGTAACCATATATTCAGGCAATATATATAGTTATAATTAAGTATACGAAACAGTGTGTTATTCATGAAAGACGCTGGATTATCTACTGATTGAAATTTTGGAGTAGAAAATCCCATAATATTAAACCGTAGAAATAAAAGTATTATTGTAAGGAGAAAAAGTATAAGAAGTCTTAATAAAGTATTTTTATATTTAATAAAATTAATTAAATTTCTATTAGCATGTTTAAACAGAAGAAGATTAATTATATCAATGGGATATATTTTGCTCACTATAACTATATCATATATTGCGCAAATACCCTAAAAATAAAGAAAAATATTCTTTATAGTTATAAAAGAATTTAAATGTAAAATATAATTTTAATACTTACAATAGCAGTGATTCCAGTTTCTTTACACAGCATTGCTATATTTACGCAAATAGCAAAACTGGCCATAGCAGCCCATGCATGTAATGTATTTTTTATATATATTATATGATTATACAATAATATTGATAACCATGTAAACAAGCTACATAATAATTCAGCACGTCCTACAATTCCAGATACCTAATATATAAAAGTACAAATATTTAAATAAAACTCATTCAATTGTACAATTATACAATTAATAATACATTATAATTACAGCTTCTGTATGAACAGGATGGACTGCAAACAAAGCTGCAGCATAAAATGAGATATTTTGTCCTTCTGGCCCCAAAAATATATTATATACATACAAAGTTAATAGACAAATTAGACTATGTAATATTATGTTTACTATATGATAGTCTTGTGAAACTAAGTCCTGTCTTAGCCAGAATTGTAATCTATATAATTTGAAAATTAATAAAAAATTAGTAAAAATTATATAACTTTTTTGATAAAATGCTATTAAAGATGATTTTATAATAATGTTCTTTTACCTGAAACTAAGAATGGTAAAAGGTCTATATGATTTGTGACTTCGTTTATGGGATAATTTAGTACCCCAAAAATCATTTTGGAATATTTTCCAGAATGATGTATCACGTACATCATTGTTATTGATAATAGCTTCAGTATCATCAAAAACAAAGTCTCCATCATAACTGTTTATAAAACAAAGTGATAAAATCACAATTATCCAAGGAAAAAGCGATGATGGTATGGCTGAAAATTTATAAGATACTTATTATAAAAGATGTCACTCTTATTCATGTAATATAAATTATATAGTAATTTACCTGGTAAATGAGTCATTTTCTTCTTTTTCATCATATTCGCAATAAAAATAAAAGATAATTATACAATTTAAATCCCTCACCTCAAAAGTGGATAAAATTAAACTTATTTAGCGTTTTTACATGAAACGAAAGAATCTGGAAGTCAATCATGTAACTTCACGTGAATTTTTCACTTTTCATTTTTCACGCATTGATCATCACGTGAAACTTTTTACGTATAGCGATTATGTAGCTTGGATGCGTGGAAAGTGAAATCATGAATAATTTGGTAATTATTTAGAATACCCCTATCACCTCTGATTTTGACAAATTTGGGCTCAATCAACACGGTTTCGCTCAAAATAAAAATATTTGGCAAAAAAATGCGGCGG